CCCCAAAACCCCAAAACCCCAAAACCCCAATTTATCAGGATATAGTTGAAAGTGCTTACATACATCTTAAATGAGATACTTTGGCAAACTTCATTAAGCTAACCGTAGTCCTTTCGACCAAGGTTTCTTTTTATCACTACGTTCATGTAGACTGGCTCTGGTTCTTGTCTTGTTTGAGATGCTGGATCAAATCCTTCAGAAACATAGCTGACTATTATTATTAAAAGTTTAGGATAATTTTATATGATCAGACGAAAATTACCATTTGGAGCGAGACAACTTGAGGCAGGACTTGAAGGAGTTTGATTAGCAATTAAATTGTCTTGAGAAGCAATCAATGACTTATTTTCTTAAACCTTCGTCTATCTTTGGTAATTTTAATCTGAGCAATTTCAACCCATCTCACTGATCATCTGAAAATTTAAACTTGTTAGCAAGCCCTCCAGTGCTCATTCTATTCCTTTTTCTTCTCCTCAGTTGCTTATTTAGCAACATTGAGTGACTAAATGTTTGAAAGGATATTACTTCTCTAAACTTTTGTATTTCTATATTTTAACTAAGGTAAATACATTGTAGTTCCTATCAGACATCCAGTTGGTCATCTTTTGGTCTATAGATAATCCAAAAGGCGAACTAGAGTCATAATCGCAGCCATTATTGCCATTGTTTATCTCAAGTTCAGGGTGTTCCTCCAAAGTTCCTATCTTTGATTTTAGCTGCTTTATATATGATTTCAGTGGGGATTTATTTGTGTCTAAGAATCATGAACATGCTTACGGCTTATACAGGATGCTCTTCTCCTTGATCTGGTATCTCATATTGTGACTCCTGGTTATCCTACCAAGATTACTTTATTTTTACTTATTATGATGTTCTAGAGATTAAGAGAATTCTTACTCCTGCTAAAATCTTTGTTAACAATCCTTTGAAAGAATTCAAGCAGATTTGGCTGCCTGGTCTTGAATAATGAAGGTCCTGAGTCATTGATATTATCATGACTCTTTGCAATTTCAAGATTAATACCAGTCTTAACATGAGATTCTTTTGGAAGACTATTTTTCTAAATTACTATCCTGCTCCTGATATGAGTATTCATTTGCTATAAAATGCACAAAATGCCCTACGAGTTCTTGAAGCTTCGCCATGCTTTTGCTTCTTCAAATTTACACGGAGTGAGGGCTGGGATTTATACTGTCCATTATTCTGCATATTTAGTACAATTCTGCTGCAACTTTTGATCATCATGTCATGAACCTCATGTTCTCTCTTGCCCATATCTATCATGTCAGTGGATAAATTTACTTTCTCTGCTAGATACATATTTTTGATTGGAAATTTCAGAGTTGATGCTTTAACATAAATTAATTACTCTGAACTTTCTTATTTAAAATTTGGAAGCTAGTAGAACTTTAGAGAAGTTATTGGTCTACCTGTGGGATAAATATATTAAAAGTAGACATGTTAAATGGTCAACTAAATTAGAGATTCCGTAATAATTTAACTCGCTGGAATAAAATTTCTCTAAATTCAGCATATTGAATAGGAATAACTTATTATAGTAAAGGTAAAACTAAATTTTAGGGTTATCAAAATATCTGAATATAACTAAGGAATCATTAATACACAATTGTACTGTTTTAAACAACCTGAGTGAGTCACATGTTGCAAAAATAATGAAACCCATTCAATTTGAAGCAAATTATTAACTCTAACTCTCCCCAACCTCTTTGCTTCAATCCATCTCCTAAAACCCAATCCGATCCCATACTTAACTCAGCACACCCCTATCACGCTCTAAACCCTCCCAAAACCCCATAAAATTCCAAATTCCCCCCAAAACCCCAATAAGGATTCCTAAACTTCTCATCCCCCATCCCATTATTCTTCCCCCTAAAATTCCCAAAAGCGTGACACTTATTGTATCTCTACATGCCATTGGGCCATAATTCCCTCTAAGCTATCTCTTTGGGGACAAATAAGTCTTCTTATGCTTCTTCGTGAAGACTTAAGGGTCTGCCTACATTAAAGCTTTCTGCCTGGGATACGCCTTCTTCTCTGAAAATGCCTGATTTTTGGAAATTTGGCTGTAATTAGGTGAGTTTGAAGGATTGATTAATAGTGAGAGGAGGTGAGGTAGATGGGGTTAAGGGTCAGGAGATGAAAGGTGGGTTATGAAGTAGTGAGGTATAGGAGAGAGAAGGAATGTGTGGTTTATAATAGCAATATTTTGCTTTAATGAATACCTTTTGGGGAAATCAAGAATTAGATGTTAAAATAAAAGATAAAATAAGATAAACATACTCTGTACTTTTAAGATGAAGCTTATTTGCTTTTTGGTTTGTATAAATGTTTGGTATCAACGAATTTCTTAAGAGTTTTATCCAGCACGATTTTATCAAACGACGGACCCTTCTGAGCAATCACAGATTTATATCTTCCACTCCTTTCCACATGAAATGTATCCATTTTTATATAATCAATATTAAATCCTATAAAGGGGTTTTGGGGTTTTGGGGTTTTGGGGTTTTGGGG